CGCGCCGCCGAAAATTCTGGACGCGCGCGAACATTCGCTATGCGGCGCGAGTGTGAAGAACATTCGCAAGCCAGAACATTCGCGTGACCGCGCGCCGGAACATTCGCGACGAGACGCGTGCAAGAACATTCGCGTCAAGGCGCGCGCGAGAGCGTTCGCGAAACACAATTGCCTATAAAAATCGGCCGACTCGCGGGTCAATCAATCAGTCGTCGTCCAGGCCGCACTCCGAAAACTTCGAGTTTCGCCTCATCTACACGCGCTCGCTAATTTGTACAGAGTTTCATTTTATACTTTATGCTTTTTAGTTATAGTTAATAGTTCATAGTTGTTAGTCAATAGTTTATATATAGCTAGTCTGTAAAATAGTTAAGTGTTAATTTTAATAAATTAGTTTAACTCAACATCGCGTATTTAATCCACGCAACCACTTCAACCCTATACTTTTAGTAGCCCATATTTATACCCTAGACCAGGGGTCGACAACCTATGACCCGCGGGTCACCAAGTGACCCGTTTGATAATTTCAAGTGACCCACTTTAGTTCCGAAAATAAAGTATATAAAAATAAATTGTAAAACATAAACATGAAACAAACATTATGGACGGATAAATTCAAGAGATTGCAGAAAAATTCGTAAAAAACAGAAGATCTTCTCATGACATCTTCTCATGACATCAACATGTTGGACATTACTTCCTACGAAGTTTTCATCTTTGAAAAAAATTCGCTTTGCTATTTTGTCTACATTCGGTATGACTTATAAATATGAGCAAATATTTTCACAAATGAAATTTATATTAAGCAGGAGCATTAACAGGTTAACTACCGAAAATTCAGATGCTTGTATTCGTCTAAAAACGAAAAACTATAAACCAGACTTGACTAAATTGACGTCACAAGTACAACATCAGAGGAGCTATTGATATCGTAGAAAACGTTTATGAATAAAGTTCATCGAACTATGTTTGTAATTATGTTATTAATAAAATATATTTTAGTATTTACTAAAAGACTGCTTTAATACGAAAATATCTCTGACCCAAACGTCTCTTTAATAGTCACATTTTGGTTGATTTTGACGCGCGGTCAAAAAAGGTTGCCGACCCCTACCCTAGACTGTACTTAAACCACTTTCTATAATTATTTAGAATTGGATGTGCCAATAAAAAAGATGCATTGAAAAATGGAAATAAAAAATAATATAACTACAACTCTTTAGAAAATTACTTTTAGTTTATAAAGAGAGTGTTATATAAAAGTCACAATCAGTCAACACGAAAGGAAATATTATTACAATTGAGCATTACATTTATTTTGAAAGTGACTACAATCGTTTATTTTGAAATGGTAATATTTAAGAATTTGCGTTTTAATTAATTTAAAAATATCGGTTACTGACATCATGATGATACAATATTTTTATGTTTCTAAAAATGTTTAATTTGCTAACCCAATTGGTATAATAAATATTATTTAAAAAATAAAACATTTTTGGAAATCATACACAGAGTTAGCTACTGTTAAAATTAATTAAAAAACTTTTTAATTCTTTAACAAATCTAGAAGTCGTAAAATAAATAATTAGATTATAGTTTAGTAAATTATCGATTTAGATACATTTATATGTACTAGGTTACCATTATCATTTTTTCAGTGCATTAATAATATTTCTTACTTTATTGTTTATTGTTTATAAATGCATCAAAATAACACACATCATAGAATTACTGTTATTCAAGTAATCAAGCACTACTACTTTAATAATAATAGAAAAAGTAGAGTTCTTATCTAGTAAAATTTGACTACATAATATACTGCATATCTGTTTAAAAGTTTTCAAGATGGACTTGAGTCACTTTTAAAATCAAAACTTCCCTCATACCATTAACCTGCTAATTTTCTCTCCACCGAATCTCAGTAACTTTGAGTACATTATCCCCAAACCATTTAATAATAAAAAGCTACTGTAGAATTGTGAATATTAGACCAACTCGATTTTTTTTTAAAAATCGACTTAAGCCGTTTTCAAAATAAACTGCTCTATTATTCATCATTTTTATCAGCGATTAGTTTTAATACATTTAATACAGTTTTAATGCAATTAATAAATAAAACCATAATAAACAAAAGATTGTGTCCCTTGCTTTGGCATTTACAACCATGTTTATTTCCATTCATCAATTATGGGCATATAGGTTTTAAAATACAAGGTGTTTCACAACTCGTGTAACTCCCGGAAAGGGGTGGTAAAGGACGTGATTCCGAATAAGATTTCCCTTTGCAAAAATCGGGTTTGAAGTTTCGTTTTTGAATTATTAAGCAAAAATACGGACCAATCATAGCGCGGGGATTACGCGCGCTGTGAAGCGGGGGCAACAGTTTCAAATCTAGTGGCTGATTCCGTGTTTTTGCTTAATAATTCAAAAACGAAGCTTCAAACCCCATTTTTGTACAGAATCACGTCCTCTACCACCCCTTTCCGGCAGTTACATGAGTTGTGAGACACCCTGTAGAAACGACGCTAAAGTTTGCGGCGGCCGGGATAAAAGTCGATATTATTAACACTACAACTATCGGCGTTAAATGCACACTTACTAGAAAATTGAAAATACAGCAAAAAAGTAAATAATTAAATATTGAAGAACTAACTAACATGTACAACTATTATTTATCTAAATAAAATGCAACAGACATTTCAACGAAAATTCGAAAATAAAATTGTGTAATATAAAATGTGAAGTCTGAAACTAGCCTGGTTTTGACTGGTTGACAATTTTAGTGTTAAGAAGATACAAATATTGCTTAAAAGTTGTAATCTTTCAAGTTTACAATAGGTATTTCTTTGAAATAAGAAACAACTTGCTTTAAAAGTTTTCTTAACATACTCGCGCCTGTTACGTAGATTTACACGAACCAGAGATGCACCTGTTACCCCGAGACTGAATGTACATTTGCTGCGGCTTAGTAGGTGTTCAATGTGCTGAATCAAGCACTTTCGTAATAGGGTATAGTAAATTCTGCATGTAATACAATCGAAGCAGTTAATTAGACTTTTAATTTCCAGAAGCTTAAATCTTTAAATTTCTAAATACGAGACTCTCAGCTTTCCTAATCTGCAAACTTCTAAATACAGAAATTTCTAAATTCCTAAATTGTATAATACCAAAATTCTAAAATCTTTAAATTCGCAAATTCGAAATTTTTTAACTTTTATATAATCATATACCAAATATCTAAATTTTTGAATTCCAAAACTTTTAAATTTCCAAACTCTTAAATACCTCATTTTCTAAATATCTAGATTACCAAATTTCTAAATTCCTAAATTCCTATTATAAATTTAGAAGTTTTAAATTTTATTATATAATATTTCACCGACCGATATACTGTATATTATTATTTAATTTAATATATTTGCAAACCTATCTTTTTATTAGAATTTAAAGTAAGCAGGTAAGATTATTTGTTTCCAACTATATATTTTCAATAATACCGACTTTTTTCTAACGAGCCACAAACTCTAACGACGTCACAGACATACAGTAGCTGACCAATTTATTATACTCAAGTATACACGCATACAAATTGCTCTGCCTCCGTTAAAATTCATCACAGGAAACATCCAGAATAGTCATTTTGAAGCTTCAGGTCTCTAGTTTTCGACCCTTTACCTCAAATATTTTTTGGACCTTTTATCACTAATGAAACATACAGAAAATCGCGATGAAAAAATTTTAGAATTGTTTTTCTTTCTTTTAAGGTTTGTATAGACATAGGAAAATTTTTTTGATTAATGCCACTTCTAGTTTGCTGTTCCCTGTTCCTTCCCCTATAATTTGCACGTCTATGAAGTTCGTTTCGATGATCGGTCGCAAAGTTATGAGCTACCAAAGCCGAAATGACGCTTTTTCCTTTGATAGTCATTATCTCATGAACCCACCATCGAACAAAAATTGTAAGGACGGTTCCAGAAAGCGAAGAATGTACCCTTTAAGATGGATATAACAGTTTTTGATTAAATGTTTTTTTTTTTGATGCGTAATATTGATGTAAAAACCCGTCAAAAAACGGTGTTTTTTCCTCAAATTACAAAAGTTACGGTATCTTTGTAAATAGGTATCGCAATGATTATACCTAGGTTTTTTTTTTAAGCTCATAGTGTCCACAAAAAGTATGCGAAGTTTCAAATGGCTCCGATTCTTTGTTCCCTATGACCCGATCGTTCAAACTTTGAAATTTGTACGAAAAAAGTTAAGGAAATGGCATTACTGTTCCGATCCGCGATTAATCCGTTCGTTGGGTAAAAAAGTTTGTGTCTCTACATTCGCCAACAAACAAAATTTTGATTACTTTCCGGTCCCCCTAATATAATGCTCGACTTATATTTAAATGTTTCATTTTTACTTTTACATGTATAATTGTTAAAGAACAGTACAGCGTTAAAATATAAATATATTACAGTGTAAAAATAGTAGATTATAAAATAATGTACAATATACTATATTGCAAAAAATAGTAGATTGTAACATAATATATTTTACAATATAACAGGTTCTTAAACTGTAATCCACGGACACTTATAGCCAATATCTTAGAACTGCGAAACAGTTTTGATATTAATTTTACATCCCCAACTTCTCGCTTTTATTCTAATGACTCATTCAATAAAAATCCTACATGCTTAAAACTTGTTGTATTTGTTGTTACTTAACTAGTTATTAACATAAATATACAATAATTGAGCCAGACATTAGGAACTAAAAACTGCTTAAAGTGCTTAGGGTTGCAATAGGGTACACAAAAAAAATGTTTATGAGAAGGTCTTTGGACTACATAAGTTTAAGAACCCTTCTATTAAATTGCAAAAAATAATATACTATAACATTATAATAAAAATATTTGTTCTATTCTATTGGTTAATGTCAAGAAAAATTTGTTTGAATATAATAATTTGGTCACCCACTGTATTATGAGTCATGATTTATCGTTTGTTTACTTGAATAATGGCTTCCTCTGCTGCTCTTCCTGTTTCCTCGAATAAAGTGGTCACGTCTAACATGTGGCAAGGTAAATGTTCCAGAGTATGAAGTAACGCCGGTCCCAGATGGCGAGTATGAGAGTCATCGTCACCGCACAATAACATCCTGGGACAACTAGTTGACCTCGATGCAGCTTTGCCAGTGCTGTAAAAGAATTTTCTCAAAGCTTTTCATACCGTTCAGGTCAACAATGACCTGAATACGAAATGCGAACCGTTTAGGTTATATTTCGACACTTCAAGTGAAGAACATTATAACTTTTGTTACTATATTTTGCAACAGTAATACAAAGGTTGACCTTTTTATAGTCTAGGAATCGTGCTTGGGTTGCATTTAGAACTATTTTTAATCATTAACAATTATTAGAACTATTACATTACAACCCAAGGTACATTCTCTCGGTCTTAACAATGTTGTATTTTGATTTATAAACAACATGAAATTTAATTACTTATCCAATTTGTTATTGATATTATTTTATAATGATATAACATTATATTCAAGTTTAGTGAAGGTTATTTTTACTTGTAATTTTCTAATTAATTAATGTCCAATTTTTTTCATCATAAGTATTTAAGTGTTTTTATATAAACAATAAAACTAAAATAATTATATACGAAGTTACAGTTCATCAATGTTAATTTATAAATGAAAATATCATTAGAACAATACTGTAAATAATGTTACAATATTATCATTTCTAATGTCCATAAAGTTGCTATAGCTCAGTTAATTTAATAATAGAATTAAATCAATGCATAATGATTTATCTAATAATTTAGTCTAATTTTGTCAGTGTTGGCTTGCCTTTTTTATCGTGTTTATGTAATTTACAATCAGTACTGTTTAATAACGAGAAAGCCTCAAATGTAAGTTTTCAGGCCATATTTATTGAAGGAAAATAAAAAATAAAAATAAAGTGTTGACACATAAATTGAATAAGCTTCATTTCCTAATAAAAGTAACATAACTTTTTGACCAACTCAATATTTCTCAACGTTACTAATCATAAATGTGTATAATTATATAATTTGAATAATTGCATATTCGGGCAACCCAATATTTTTAGATATTACTATTAAAACTTAAGTTTATCTTTAGAAGTATTTGTTCCCAAATTGAATTTACAATTATAACTTATCCCAGCTGTATTAAACATCCTGTAGATATTTCAAGATGTACGGTCAACGCAGTGTCAATCACTTTTAAATATATAGTAATGTAATGCTTACATGACGTCGCAAATCAACATTCCTGCAGGACAAAGCGTTTCAAGTTGAGACAAAATGCGTGATAAATTGTCTTGAAGCAAAGGCTGAAGTTTAAACGACAAAGACTTCACGGGTGCGATTGCGACACGATGGGAAGCTGGTGTTATGTTCTGTCGAGCCCTCAGGAAATCTTGTTTCTCAACCTATTATAATAATTTTATCAATTTGAATATCACGATTAATAGAAATGTGTATACGAAATTACGATCAGATAAAATTAAGCAGGGACAAGTATAAAATATGGTTCTGAATATATTCGGAATAGGAATTAGAATTCTCAGAATTCGATATATTGCATTTATTGTTACACTACTTATGAATTATCTACTTGTGAAGTAATTCCAAAATTTTGTAAATAGAAAAGGAAACTGAATTTCATTCTTTGAAACTGAATTCTATGAAATTTGCATTCAAAATATCCTTATTTGTTCAACTCAACTCCCTTCATAATTAAACTTTAACAGCGTGATTGTAAAGTTAAATGTAAAAGTTTCCGAATTTAAACATTAAAGATTTACAAATCAACAAACATGTGAACTAAACAATTGGATATTTCTATTTTCTATATTCTTTGCAAAAAATAATCTTTCTTACTTAATTAAAATTATATTCTGCGTAAAGGTCGTAGAACAACAGTGACTCAGTCTGAATCATGTTAAATAATTTATGTAACTTCTTACTCTTCAATTTTTCACTTGTGTAACAATGTTTTGAAAATACGTTAGCAGAGAGTTACACCGATCAGAAATGCTTTATATGCAACTGGAACTGTATAATCAGTTAGAAAGTGTATTTTGCAATAAACTATTCTTGGTTTTATTACTTGATTGAGTGTTACTGACTCTAAGTACCGGCTTCTTTGACAGTTAGATTAAATATGGTGCCTCAGGCAAGTGACCCAACTGATACACGTATGACGCTATATGTAAACGTATGCTAATGAAAATATCTTGATTTAAGTTTCTAAAGGTTTAATGCAACTCTTGGGTGGTCGGCTGTTGAAACGGTGAAAATTTATGTTTACTTTTAATTTTCTAAATTTCATATTCTGTCTTCAGATTATTTTACGCTATTTCTTCAATTTATTTAATTCTTTCATTCAAGAATTGTACATCGAACTTTAGTAGAAATACTGTTAATCTTGCATTTACATAGTCCTACGTAAATACTCCTGCAGCCGCGTATTCAACATCTGTGACTTTATTCGCAGTTGACTGGATTTTGGGATTTTAAGAATTTGCAGATATGTAAATTTGACAATTTGAAATCACATACGTTTACAAATTTGGAAATTTAAGATTTGAAAACTGAGTAATTTGAGGAAATATAGATTCCTAAATTTCCAAATTTCTGAATTGCTGAATTTCTAAATTTCTAAATTTCTAAATTTCTCAGTTTCTTAATTTTTCAAGTTCTCAATTTACAAACATCCATGTTCTTCAAATTTCTAAATTATCAAATATATAAATTTTCAAATTTTCATATCCTAAAATACCTATGTTTCCATATTCCAAAATTTCGAAATATTTAGAAATTATTAAATCTATATATTACTAGACTTCAAAATTGTCAAATTTCCAAAACTGTTTACCAGTTTTTAAGTTTCTAAGTGTTCCGAGGTGCACCATTCTCGTAACTCGGAATAACTCAGTATTTATGGATATCCATAAAATAGATATTTTATGACTTTTCAAGAACATCTCCACAACTCGACTTTATAAACTAGTCAACAGCCTTGCTAACGAACCAAACATATGCCATCCATCGAAAGGCAATATATCTTTCCTTGATGAAAATTTGTTATATCCTAAAATGTGCATCTCCTATGGTGTACAGTATTTAGTGCAATGTGCCCCAATGGCAAGATTTATTCAAGAACCCAAATCTCTCAAGTGCTTGGGTTACTTACATCTATCATCAACTCTTAGGACCACTCATTGGGGACTAAAGGTCTCACGATCCAATTCACTCAGTCGTGTCACCAATGGGTGTTTTTGTTAAATTATAAATGAACCCTGATTGATCCTCTATGGTAGATACCTCCACGGCTCGACCTTCGCCTCCAATGTTCGATGGTCTTCCTTTTTGGGTAACTCATTCAGTCTTGATAAATCTCTTGTGACATACATTCACTTTCACATCGTATCATTCACGTTACGAACCGTCATATCAGAGATTCAAGTGATATTCAACTATCACTCAAGGCACGAGGATACGTTTTATACTATGTGGGACGAAGCTTTACAACCTCTGTTGACCTGTTCATCCAATTGTGAAAGTCCCTATGCCCTTACGAGCTCACAACCACATTCTTTCCACTACATTAATGCAAAACCAATCAGTTCATACCATTAGACAATTCAACATGATCTTCATCACTTTAACGAGTTGTGAAACACATTGGATTATTCGTTGGACGAAGATTTACGACCTTCGACAATCTGAGCGGCCATCGTGGCGGTTTCTACTTTATCCATTGCTCAAACAGTAAGTTACGAAACCTCAATATTTGCAAATTTCTAAATTCCAAGTTACCAAATCCCCAGATTCCTAATTTCGATATCATCAAATTTTCAAATTTTCAAATCTCCAAATCTTCAACTCTCTAACTTACTTAATTTCTAAGATCATCAAATCTTCAAATGTTCACATTCCAAGATTTGCAAATCTTCAAATTCCCAAATCCCTAAATCTCCAGATTCCAATGCTCAAAATTTTCAATCCATGAAACCCAAATTTGCAAGTCTCAAAATTTGCAAATTTTCAAATTCCTAAATTATCAAATCCTTAAATGTCGAAAATCCTGAGTACACTATAGAAAAATTTGTGTCGTTGATTTCGATACAATACCATACGGCAACAATTTTTTAACAACCGAAGAGCTCTTGAAAATGTACTATTAATAATTTTTAATCTATTATTATCCGTAAAGTAATAATTAATCATCATTATATCGTTATAACAATTAATCTGCAGATTTATACAAAATATATCTGATGATCCTATTTTACGATAAAAAATTGTTGCATAAATAGTGCTTATTGGGATAAATGTAGATAATTTTACAATCAAACTGTTAGATTTTCGTACGCTAAAAACAATAGAACATAATTTTCCTAGGAATCTGCAGATTAAAGCGCAACTTTAAAGAATGAAAAATTTAACTCCCTTTCTCAAAATTGAATTTTTCAGAAACTTATGCTGATGGAGAACAACTAATTTTCGATTAATAACTAACAATGAGTAATTTGGGGAGATGTAGATTTATAAATTTCTGAATTTCCAGATGTCTCAATTTCTTAATTTTTTAATTTCTCAATTTCTTTATTAATAACCAGTTTATGAAAATTTAGAAGAATCACTTATTAGTTAACTGAAGTATAACGCACAGACTGAACTGTTTTAATATTGTATTGTATAGTACAATAGAGAGTGATTTGCCATTAATATGAAATATAAATTATTAAATTAGAAAATTTATAGAATGTATTTTTTAACTGAATTCAGTCATTTAAAAGGAACTAGAGCTATAAAACAATTTTTTTAAAGAAGTTAGTGAAAGACACAGTATGATGTAAATGATGTTCATAACATTATGTAAATAATGTTGTATTTAAAAAGTATTTCAAACATCTGTAAAAAATGTTAATGAGAAAAATTACAAGGGTAAAATCTTAAATTAAAAGAAAAATTAGCAGGGATAAAAACACACTGAAACATATTAAATCAAAACTTATAAGATGGTTATGTAATTGTATTTAGAACAGCGGAAGAGACTAATAAATAATTCCGAATCAATTATACAAACAAGTATCAGTGAAAAATTTTCCGGTAATTAGTTAGATCACGACATGTGAATTTTACTTAACTTAACCGGAAGTATATGGCAACCATTGACCTGATTCTGAGATCCGCCCTTTCAAAATCTTATATAAGAATATATTATTTCGTGTGACACATTATTGAATTTGTCTCCACAACAGTATGATACTATAGAAAAGGGATACAATGTGTGTTTGAAAAAAGTAATTTGGTTTTCAAATTTTTTACTTATATAAAAAGTTACGTATTTATATTACATTTTGCACGTTGCTATACTAAATTATGTCAAGTTGTTTCTATATTTTCTAATTTGTACATCTAATGTTTCGAAATTCTCAGATTTTTGAATCTCTCAAATTTTCAATTTTTCAAATTCTAAGATTGTAAAATTGTAAAATTTTAATTGTAAAATTATAAAATTGTAAAATGTTTCATATTCTCTGTTACATATGCTGTGCGCTTTTCTATTTTTGAGCTGGATGTTCAAGACCTCCACGAAATAAAGTCTAACTTTCCCACCAATCGGGATCTCTTTTAGTATCGCGCTAGAATTTTCTGACTCGGAATCAACAGAAAGGATCATCTCACGAGAACTTCGCGTTGATCTGTTCCCACCGCTCCCACCACTAATTTTTTCGGCCTATTTGTGAATATAGAAAAGGTTCTGGAGAAGATGTGGGTTCAGTTAATTCTTGAACGTCACGTCAAAAGAAACTCTGTACGAGTTCTAATCCAATCACTCATGTCAAGTTAAGGAATCTTTGTACCAGGTCGGCTCAGAGTCCCTATCGAGTCTACTATTAACCATAATACGAAATTTCACTGTTAGGCATTATTGCGATTTCTTTTGAGTCCCCATTTGCTCGTTTTTTGTTAAAATTGGATAGAATTACATTCTTACTCCATTGGGATCGAAACTAATTAAATTACTTAAAGTTTTATTAAAATTCCCTTTTAATTCCCTTAACAAGCAAATGCACTTATCGCTTGTAAAACTCGGATTTTAGAATATATTCAATTATTCATTTTATATTTCAATATCGCGTCATTTATTTATAATCACAGTCCAGAAACCCACTTGTCAGTGTCACTTCAGCTGCTAAAAGTGTACCGTCAAAATCTAGTTACGAGATCTATTATTAACATTTCCTGTGACACCCAATTTCTACATCGAAATCTTTTGACGTTCAGGTTAATTAACAATCCTGAGTTAACCAACTAATAAATATCATAACCATAAATTCACAATTTCGCAAATTGGCAAAATTATAAATCTAACAATTGATAAGCTTATAAACTTGAAAACTTCTGAATTTATAAATTTGAGAGCTTATCTACTGAAAGTATACATAAGGACTCTTCCTTCTGTGCCGCCATTGTGGCTAAGAAAACTTGCCATATCCCTCGATGTACATAATACAATATATGTACATATATGTATGTATGCATATGTATACATACGAATAATTGCTTATACATGTACGATAGGTTCATAAATATAATTAAGGTGAAGTGGGGTAAGTTCATAAACGGGGTGTATACAGGCTATTTTTACTACAATATGAGCGAAATTTCTCCATTTAGTATGTTTGTTTCCTTGTTTTGTTTCACTATATCCCCTTTTATATTTCAGCTAAGAGTACCTGTTTGGAGTGTAGAGTACTTGCATAATGCAGTAAAAAGCATTTTATAGCAGATTTGTTAATAATTCTGCTCTTACCCAATTCCACATGAAATAAAGTTTTAAAATATTTAACTTCAAGTTACGCTCTTACCCCATTCTCGGGAAAAGTGCAGAGTAGCTGACATTTTAAACAATTTCCTGTAAAAATCAAAATGTATAAGGAAGATTAAGGTCCTAGTTACTATTAATTAAATAGTAGTAATTATGCAAAGCGTTCGATATCGACAGTGTTTACGATATAATTGCAGCAATTTGTGAGGTGAATTGGATTCTGGTTATATTGCTTACTAACCGTTAATCACATCCGTATCATAAACTCGGTGCACTAAACAGATTCGGTTTTTCCCGTCATAACACGTGACAAAAGTTTTTACATAGCAGACTGAAAATACTTACGTTTAAAGACCAACTTTACAAAAACCAACCTGCACTTACCCCACTTCACCTTATGCGTAATAATATGTGACTATTTATACTATTATGGTATAGATGTTTTTATACAGTTTGCATGATTTGTCATAAAGTATAAAAAAACGTTAAAAAATATTTCTAATCAAATTGTTAGAGTATAAGAGATCATACAAAATATCTACATTTACTTAATCTCCCGATGACCTTGAAAACCCATGTCAAATTATTCTTGCTTAAGATTAATCAAAATTGATGACTCAATGACTGCGATGTCTCCTTGTAAGTTATTTTACTAGCTACATAATATGTAGAAAAAACATATTTAATGATACACTATTAGGTAAAGTAAAGGTCCTTGTAATTCCTGGTTCAACCTCGTAGCATGACTAAGATTTCTTAATTAGACTATTTAGTTTTTTGTTCAAAAAAATCGTTTATTTTCCATATGTTATATAAAATAAAAATGTATAACGCTGAATAAATAAAGCATCAAATAAAAATGAATAATCATAAAAAATTCTGTAATGTCCCCAAAACTTTCGTCACGTGTTATGACGGGAAAAACCGAATCTGTTTAGTGCACCGAGTTTATGATACGGATGTGATTAACGGTTAGTAAGCAATATAACCAGAATCCAATTCACCTCACAAATTGCTGCAATTATATCGTAAACTCACATCTGTGCGACAGATGTGAACTGTCCTTTGAACCGAGGTCCACGAACATACCTGAGGAGGTGAAACGTAAGCCCAGCCCCTCTTTTTTTTAATCGAAATGTGACTACCGATTAGATACAACTTTTTAAAATATGTACAGTTACTCGCATTAATATTTGCACCCTACAGTACTTTCTGTATTCGTTATTGTATACAAGGAATGATTTATGTATTATACTGCTTACTTTACAAGAACATAAATCGCTTATAGATAGAAAATATGCAAATAATATTTTTTTTAATTATTCCATTTCAATTGCAATACATTTAAACAACATGCTATCAGAGTTTCACGTCAGATTAATGTCCAGACATGTTGCGAAAAATAAAAAAGTAATATATGTAGGAAAAACTACAATTTGATTATTTTGTTACAAACTTTTTTTGTTTAATAATCTAATATGATCGATTGGCCATATTAAAAATAATTTTTTTTAATATTCTGAAGGAACAAAATGCCATTTCTCTTTCAGTCTCGTTTGTAGTTCAACTTTTGAATTTATTAGTAATTTTTCTAATACTTCAGTCTCACTCCCATAGATTCTCTGTGAGATTTATGTTTGGAGATTGTGGAGGCGGATGTTAAATTTTTAGACAATTATACAGCAAATATTCCTTCACTATTCGAGCTCTGAACTTTGTATCATTGTATTCATAAAATTTGAAGGTACTTTGTGTTCTCATATTATTTGCACTTCTTAATAAATTTTTTTTAAAAGATTTAAATATCTATTCTTATCTAAAATATGGTCAATGAAAACTCATTGACGTCATCAACACCCGCAATGGAAATACACCCCCGTACAATCACAGAATCATCTACACGTTTTAAATTAGGTTTTAGATTTTTTTACTTTAATTCTTCATTTATCCTTCGACACAATGTACTATTCCTATCTAAACCAAAAATGCGATATTTACTCTCGCCAGCGGAAAAAACATCCTTCTACTAATGTTAAGACTTCTCAACAAATCCTTCGGCGAAAATCAGTCTTCTTTCCGATTTATGTCAATAATGTATGATTTTCTTCTTGTTATTCGACTCATTATACCTATTGTTCTTCATTATTCTATGCACTATTTCACCAGAGATTTTCTATTCACTTCCATGATAAATCCGTAAAGTTACGTGTATAGCACTACAGTGCAGATTTTTTTTAACTTTCGTATTAATTTTCTTCCATTAAAAATTCGAGGTTTTCCAATTTGTTTTTTAAATTTAGATGTAATTTTCTTCCCTATATCTTTTAATTATGACTTCTGTACTCTTCTCCGTTAATAATAACTGTGTTATTTCTCAATAAGTTTTACCTGTCTCTCTATGATAAATTACAAACTATCTCTTATCAAGACTGGTATTCTCTCCTTCTTCTTTACATGTTAAATTTTAATCATTTACGCTTCGAAGCATTATATTATATTGAAGTAGAATTATATTCCTAAATATGATCTGAATATGGTTTTGAATATGATCGTATAACTACTGATTTGCTATGTTGAGATTTTTTTGTTAATTGTAGTGCGTAACAGCATCTATGCACCTCTATACGATAAGCATGAAATAACGCCGTTTGATAATTTGTAGGAAGTTTATCTATGCTGTTAATTATTACATCATTTGCAATTATTATTACCGCAATTTATAACTTTGGGAACTTTAAAGATTGGGAATTTTTAAATTTGTGAATTTTTAAATTTGGGTATTAGACTTCGCGAATTTGTAAATTTAAAAATTGAGGAATTCGGAATTTAATGGATTTGAAAATTTAGGACTCTGGGATTTTAGACGTTTTAGGCAGATTTAGAAGTTTGTGAAGTTTTAAATTTGAAGATTTGTAAATTTAGGAATTCGAAACTTTCAGGATTTGAATATCACAGAATTTGAAGTTTCGTATGTTTGGAAATTTTTAAATTTAAGAATTTGGAACTTTGTAGATTTGGCAACTGAGGTATTTGAGAAACTGTAAAGGAAATTTGAAAATTTAGCAATTTTATATTTTGTGCATATTATTACTGTTGCGTTGAGTAGGCGATAGTTCAACGCACACGTGATGATTTTCTTAACGCAAGCATTCAACTTATACTATTATTACCATCGATAATAATTATAACCAAGGAAATATTGAACATTTCTTAAAAGTGCATTTTGATTAACACTATTCCTACCGCGACCGGTCAAATGACCGTTTTCAAAATTTCGATTAGAATTTCCTGTATAAAGCGTAATTGAAACGCCTTTAAACTTCATGACTTTTCCTGAAACATGCATATAATACTTTTTTCAATATTTATTTCGTTCTTTATTGTTTAGTTTTTGAGAAAAATTAGTAGTCTGTCTTACCTACCACGACCGGTCATTTGACCGGTAGAACGATTTATAACTTTTTGTAATAGTATTCTCTCAGAGGCTCAATTCCGAACTTATAAATACGTTATAAACGAAAGATAATGCAGTTTTAGCATGATATTATCCAAAAAGTGCCTTCCAGGTACTGCTTTACGGCCCTTCCAAGTGTATATAGCTTTCGCTCGCCTATCGGTCTCGCGGTATTTATTTGCCTGATTGGTATTCGACGCAGTCAAGAACTTAGGATTTTCTAACACTGTCTCATTTACTATGATTATAAAATAAATAAAATTTTAGCCGAAGGGGACGCCCAAACGTTTTTTGATGAATTTGAAATCAATAAACTCTTGCGACGCGAACATAGAACATCAGTACGTCAAAGTCACAAGAAGTATATTCAGCAGTTTTTTATTATTTTGTATTTCTATTCTATTATTATTCTACCTGTATTTTATGTTGTTATAAGTATTGTTTTATGTGTTATAAGTGTCATTTCCAAAAAACTAGACAAAATCATCAGTACTTCGCCGTAAGTTTCACATTTTATCTTTTATTCATTTCTTTATGTATTTGGATTTACATTTATACATTTTAGTTTTTATTTTGAATAAAATTTATTTTCAGTTGAATATTCATGTCCCAAATGTCAAGTTTGAAGAGTGTAAATTCATTATTAGAAAAAATAAATGATATTGATGAAGAATGTACCGAAAATGATCAGGAAATTTTT